GGAAATGCTTCCCACATGGATTTTCGTTCTAAACACATGAAAAACTCCATGAGAAATTGAGAAAACAAAGATGGACGAAAACTAAATTCTTAGTTCATAAAACTTAACTTCAAACATTTCAAACGTGATTCCAACCTTCAATCTAATGCACAAACGATTTTTGAGGTAATTTAATTAGTAAAAATAGGTTGGAGGTCGAGATAATCGAAGAAGGAATGAAGAGAAAGAATGGGAAATGAGTTTCTCGAACCCTAAATCCCTCAAATGAGTTTCTCACTACAACGAGACATCTCTCACTACAGTAAAAATATCAGATCAAACTGCACTCTGGTTTCTGCATAATCTCGCTACAGAGAGACTGCATCTAGAAAACACCCTCCTTATGTTACCCTCTCGCTACAACGAGAAGCCTCTCGCTACAGCGAGAACTCAACGGAGACACTCCCATCTCTTGAGGCCTTCTTGCTACAATAAGAACATAACAGAGTCACGCCATTTACTCAGGACCTTCTCGCTACAGCGAGAATGTCCCCGTAGTCCATCTTTAGCCTATTTCTCAATCAATTTAAAACACTCAATTATCAATTCACTATCAACATCCACAATTATACTCATATATTCAGCTACACATATTCACATCACCACATAATTCTAAATGCACATTCAAATAGAAATCAACAATTTATATTAATGATCAAAATAGTATTACAAAATTTAGAGTGTTACACAATTGGTTGATTTTAAATTTATCCAAATAGAATTTTCTTTTGTATCCTCATTGGAATATAGTTTTTAGGGGTGGTGACTTGGAAACTATGGAAAAACAGAAATAGTATCATTTTACAGTAAAGGGGTCAATTTGGCCCTGGACCCACAAGCCTGCTCACATAACCGACTATATAGCCTTATTTTTTTGAACCTTTATACATAGTGAGTTTACTCTGACCCTAAACCCTAATATATAAACAAAATGTGGGCTAAGGATAGGGTCAAAGGTGGGTTAGTCCATATTTTTTAAAGAGTAATTAATAAATATTTCAATTTTTTAAATAAAAGGCACATGTGTTTGTTTATTATTTTTATTAATTATTTTATTTAAAATTAATAAAAAATATATTTTAAAAATAAAAAATTCTATCAATCTAAGATCAACCAAATTTAGATTTGCAAATATTTATTAATTTTCACTAACTTTACAAGTTACTTTTCTGATTAATTAATTTTGCAATATTAAGTATCATATGTCTACGATTTTTATGATAATAATTTTATATTTAATTTTTTTAACATATTAAATTTTATTTAAATTTCCAGAATAACCCTCTCAAGGATGAGGGGCTGCTAAATAAAATTCTTTTTGATATTGATTATTTCCATGGCTGCTGCAAGAGTATACAGAGGAATTTGGCTGATGCTTGGGGATTACGCCATTCGGTGAAATGGAAACACTGATGGATCTGTCTTTAATTCTTTGAACCTGACTAGCTGTGGTGGTTTGATCTGGGACAAGGCTAGAGGCTTCATTGCTACTTTCTATAGATCTTTGGACCATTGTCACTCAATTGTGGTTGAGTTATGGGAGATTTATTAGGGCTTTTAGTTGGTCATTGATAGAAGCATCCAACTCATTAATTTGGATTAAATGCGACTCCAAAGATACTATTTCCCTAGTTATATGTTTGGTGGGCAAATGTACCCGTCAAGAATTAAGAAAGGGTTTTTAAATTAATTTTTCAAAATATCAATAACTAAAACTTTCCTAATTTAATTGTTTAAGCTTTTAAGATACGAGATTAATTAAAATAATAATTTATAAAATCAATTCTAAAACCTAGAATAAAGAACACAATGCACATCTTGGTTGAACTTATCGGAGAGGAACCTAGGGCATATGAGTTCACTCATTCAATCCTTTATGTTATTCTTCTATTTAACTCTAAATTCGATTTCCTTGTGATTACGAATCATTTATACAAATATTATTAATACCTAATAGTCATGCAATATTAACATTTTTTCCCTCTAAATTAACATCCTCAATGGTCATGCAAGACATCAATTTAAGAAAATATAAAATACTTATGAACTTGTTAATTTAATAATGATTGAAAGAGAAAATTTCTTTTAATCTACCAATTTCTTTGTCTCGTTTTATCCTATAGATCAATTAACTAACCGAAATACAATCACCTTACGATATATAAATAATTAGGACTAACAAAGAATACAATAGGATAAAATATAATCACGGATAGAAACCAAATTTAGATTCAAACATCAAAATCTCATAAATTTATGAATAAGAGTTCTCATACCCTAATTATGGACTTAGTTATTCATGCTAAAGGAAAGAACTAGCACATTTATAAACAAAACCATAAAGAAAAGTAAACTAGAATGAGATGAGTTCTCGGTCTTCAAGTATAGTACAGTCGTGCGAAGTTACAAGTCCCGCCAACAGTATGCCAAAGATCTCGTACAAGAAAGACTAAATGAGAGGTGTACTAGAGAACAGAAGTAAGATGTTCAACTGGATACCGAAGTCTGCCTACAAGTGCATCATGTGGTGTGTAAAAATCTGATCACTGGGCAAGTGTACCCGTTATCGAAGTAATATTATTAAAATTAAAATTAAAGTACCAAGTGTCGTATCCACAGGGACTGTTATTAAGAAACTTTTCCTTAATTGCGTAATTGTTAATAAATATGAAAAATAAACCTTGTTGATGAAATTGCTAAAAGTAAAAGAATAATAAATTAAAAGGAACAGATATTCTAGTGAAAATAAATTATAGAAAATTATGACTAAAGGTATTCAATGTAAAAAGGCAAGTATCTAGACTGTAAATCCCCCTAAGTGTCCAAATAACTGAAATTCTTCTTCAACTACTTAGTTCCAAACCCTTATCGCTGCAGGAAATTCTAATTTAAATCAATACCTTTCTCAAGGATAATGATTCCTAACTCTCAGTTGATTAATCAGAATCTCTTCCTTAATTAATACCCCTAGGTTGCATTAAGTTCATTATGAATTCCATAATTAGGGTTAATCCTAATACAGAAAACTCACGTCTTTCTATCTCTAGAAATACATTCAAGTCTTTTTAATTGAGCAATGTTAAATTAATGCAAGAATTTTACTCAAATTCAAACAAGAAAACAAGATAGAAGAAAATTGATACTACTTAATTAAACCCAAGAGAAAGGAACATGAAATAGCATTAGAAGAATTTCAGAAAATTAGTCAATTAGGATTCATTACGTCTAGATACTCAAAGGAAAGTTAGAACCTAAACATCTTGAAATTAAAATTACAAAAGAGATGAATTAAAACGCTTGATCCTATCCTCCTGCCGTCTCTGAGTCTTTCGTCTCCAAAAACTGCCTCCACAAGTTTGAGTTCAGTTCTCCTTTTATAGGAATTATCCTAGGGTTAATTTTCTCGCAAAAGTTAAATTTCTGACGCGCGTAAAAGTACACGCCCAAGTACACGGTCATGTACTTGGCCGTGTACATCTCTGTTTTCTAATAGACGTCCTTCAAAGCTTTCCATAAAAGTACACGCTCATGTACACGGCCATGTATCTGGCCGTGTACATCTCTGGTTTTGATGATATACTTCAATTGACGCGACCAGTGAGATACACGTTCATATACACGGGCATGTACTTGCCCGTGTATATCTCTGGCTTCATTATGTGTTTCAAGTCCCAATATCTTTTAAAGTTTTCACTTCTTGATCCTTTTTCCTGAAATGAAATTAATAATAGTAAATTTTATCAATGAATAGCTTAAAACTCTCAATTATCATTCATGAATTACAATGTAGGATCAAGTATAGAAAGCATTTATCATCATGTCACAATTTTCTATGGTGAAAACATTACCTCCTATGACCTTATACTTCCTAACAAAAGTGTGGAAGTCTTGGGCACTTAATAATGTTGTGGTATTTAGTTGGCAAGTTATTTTGGACCGTTTTCCTTCAAAGGAAAATTTAATCCAAAGAGGTCTTCGGGATAAATTGGACAATGAATATTGTATATTTTGTAGTCATGACATAGAGACCTTACACCACCTCTTTTTCTCATATCCATTTGCAATTCATCTATGGCAACAACTATACTTTTGGTTTCATTTGTCACCTCTACAAACTTACTCTTTGAATGTGTAAGTGTTGGATTTTCTACATATAGTTACGTGTAACAAAATGTGGAAAGCTACTTTTGTGGTATAGATGATGACCTTGTGGACCATTTGGAACCATAGGAATGCAATTATTTTTTCAAAAGCTAGTGTGGAAATTTGGTGGTAGAGAACATTAAACACAAAATATGGCTCACAATTACAACACACTCTTCAACAAGTTGTTTCTCCTATAATGCATGGTAATTAGAAAGGTTAAAAAGCCTCAAATTGTTATTTCCCTAGAAGTTATTACATGGATGCTTTGTAATGGGTCTATGTTTATTCCATGACTTTTGGTAATTTGTAATACTTATAGTTGCTCTTATTGTAATTTTGGGAAGAGTATCCCTTGTACTCAATATCAATAGAATTTTTTATGCTTATAAAAAAAGAAATGTATTTTATGCTTGTGATGTTTCATTTTAGTGCTTTTATATATGGTGAACTGATCTTTCGCGACTCTTTTAGAATGTTATCCGGTTATTACTACCTCTTTGCCACCAAGTTCATTTGTTACATGCTCAGTGCTAACGCGCGCCGTGGATACCTCCATCATCATAAGCAAATAAGGATGCGATTTTAATGGTATTTTCTCCATTTTCATTGCACCTACTTGAATTCAATTATCTCACAGTCTATGAATATGTTTCCCTGTTTGATGTCTTATAACAAGCTTTTTTTAACAATTATTGAATCAAAACTAAAGTCTCTGATTAGGTCGATCGACAGCAGCCCAGCAAGTGAAGGAAAATCTTTATCTAAGTCTTAAGTGGTAACCCATGAAATTTCCCCTTTTTTTTTTTGGTAACTTTTAATTGAACTTTTGTTGTCATGAAGGTTGTTATGATGATTTAATTTTGTAAGTTTGAAGGGAAGGAACTAAGTATGTTGAGGTTATATTTAGTTTGTAATATTATATATCCAATTGCCACATAATTTGTTGAATGGAGGAATGAAAATCTAGCTTTGGAACTGAATCCCCTGTTTTTAGCTTTATTCAAGTGCTCTAATTATGATTTTAGCTTTCCAACAATTGTATCGATTTAACTAGTTAGGTTCTAAAATATATTTTGACTTGAAGCAATCTGGTTTCTCTTTATTGATCACTTGATGGCGTAGGGTCTTGCTAAAACATAAATTTATTATTTAAGCACATTAGAAAGATTACAAGGCAGCATGAAGCTCATGACTGTTTCTGGAATCGATAGATTCTGTCACTTATTTAAACATTAGAGAGGCAGATAGCATTTGCCTCCTCAGACATGAAGCCATTAAAACAAAGTAAGCCATATTTGGTTAGGTTTACCATGATACGGATGAAGTATTATCTCTTTAAGACTTGGATCAGAGCGTTTCACATCCATCACCATGTCGTCATGTAAATTATAAATGCTACCGTCATTTTTAAACAACCATCTTTGACTAGCCCATCCATTGCTGCAACCCATCAGGAGAATGGGAGATCCTTGTTTGTGGTCTTTAGAAGTTAAACAGTTGTTTGTATTTTGCACTGAACGTATAGACCCATCTGTGTAAAGTGCCCATTGTTGCTCCTTCTTATTGTTATCACAGTCAGCCAGCCACACATTACTTCCCTGAGCTTGCATGCAGAGATCTGAATACCCACTGATTGAAGTTACGAAAGGGCTTGTGTTATTCCCTGTACGCCAGCCCTGTCGCATTAGATATTCGTTCGTTTGCACGGTGAGTGTCCCTCCCATGCTACTAGATTCAGCACTCAAGACCAAGCCTGACCTTGGATTGATGATGGTTCCATTGTCCCATATTTCCCAATAAGTGGCCTCTGGTACTGCCGAGGTACAATCATATATCATGACATAATTCCCTGGAGCATAACCTTCTGTGGTTAAACACTTCCCGTTGGACCTTATCGTCTTGTCACTTTTCAAGGTCCACAGCTGGTTCTCTTCAAGCCGGTCTTTGCATTTCCACGCTATGATACGATTGCCATTGTGATAGTCGTCGTCATAGACATCCACGCACATCCCATCTCGACCACCAATGCGCACGGTTGGTTCATAACGAGAGCTGCAAATCTTTGATTCTTCGACAATTGATCTTATTAATAGAGGTGATTGGTTTGCATTTGGCGGATTGCAGACAAAAAGCATCAATGCCAGAACTGCAACTGTTGGGTGTGACAAGGAATCTACAACAACAGGTTGGCGATTAATACTTGATAAAATGACATTATTTGGAAAAGTATCTTGCACTGATTGTTGAACACCTCCTGACAGATTATCCCAATTGTTCTCCAAACTTAACATGGCAGAATCTGGTTGAAACGCCGTACCAGTTCGGATGCTGACACCAACCCGGTTTGATATGTACCTGTATCGAGCTGCTTCTGAAGCCATTTGGATTATCACGATCAGGGTACGAGCTTTTTCTTCGTCGTTACTGGTCCCACTTCGTAGAAACGATATCGCATGTGTCAAGGCCTGTAACCCTAGACTTATTTGCTCTCTTGTCTGATGAGCCCATCTCTCTAGATCACCATAACTACCATCAAAACGAAGTGAGTACCGCTGCGTGCCAGTGAAAAGGTAGGTAGATGCAGATTCTGGGGCATCACGAAGGAAATAGGATTGACTTCCTGCTCGGTATGCTACCACATATGCATTGGTCACATCGATACCTACTTCAATAGATTCCCTCTCCGAGTTTGAGAGTTCGACTGTAATATATCGATTTCTTTCTTCCACTGTTGTTGGATCTCGAAGCACAGGTATGTCGTGTATCAGCCCACCTGTTAGTCTCTGTCGAAGCGCTTCAATGAACTGTTTGTAGCTTTGTGAAGTGGCACCTTCAGTAGTAAATTTAATGGCCTGGTCCTGATTTGTTGCTACCGGAGGATAGGTTCTTGCAGCACATCTCAGTGCAGAGAATGAACAAGTCCATGCAAGACATAAAATCAGTAGCTTCAAAGTTTTGTCCATTTAAAACTGCATGCAATTGCACCAAATTTTAGCAAAAGATGTAATGAAAACTGAAAGAAGTAATTCAAATTTTAAACCTGAACCTAACCGTAGAGCGAACCTTGTTGATCCCACTTGCAGTAAAATAAAGGATGCTGTGCAATGTTTGGTGTGGCTTGGAAGTTGTGGGATCACTTTATAGGCAGAGGGATCTTGGACCATTGGTACCACCTCATAATAAAAATCAAGCCTGTTTTTGGAGCATTAGCCTGATTTGGACAGAGTGCATAATTTACATGGGCCTAACGGTTTTGGCAACAATGGTTGGGACTGGGAGGCAGCTGAGTGGATTAAAATTGTTCTATCTAATTTTTTAAATAATATAAAATACATGTAAATTTATGCATATCTGTGTTCTTTTGTTCATAGAAATGTTCACTCATACGTACACGTGTGTTGATCTTGATGATAGTAATTATAATTAGGTCACTCTTGCTGACGTCACGTAAAAGCCAGCTGAAAGGAAGTGCCACCGAAAGAAGGCAAATTATTGTACTGCAGGAATCTTTTATGATGTACGCGACAAATGTTTACACCCATCTGGATTGAATGCAAGCCATTGCTTGTTATTTTCAATCACTGTTCAATTAAGAAAAACCAAAGCAAGAAAGGTGACTCATTCTTCAATTAGGACTCCCACGCACGTGTTTCTTGCTGCTCACAAGTTTCCATGCCCTCTAACATTCTGCCACTCCATTCTCTTCCACGGTTGTAGCATCTCTTCCAACAAAGAACTTCAAATTGCTGGTATGGTTTTCTAATACGAAGAAGCATTCATGGGGTGATTTACGGTGAAAATTGGAGATTAATATAAGAAAATAACAAATAATGAGAGAAAAAAGTAATTCATGCGGCGAGGATACACACTGAAATTTATTGTTCTGTTTTTTCGGTATAATTTCATATCCTCTAATAAAATACCTAAAACTGAATATTCAAGAATTTCAAAATTCTCTTTCTTGATAGGTAAACAAAGCACTTTTATTTAAACCAATTTAAACCCTCTAAATAATTACATTTCTCAATAGTAATAAGATTCTCTGAAATCACTTTGTCACTGCAGATGATTTTGATCATTAAATATATATTAGAACAATTTAATTTTATTAAATAATTAATAAATATATTCATGCACTAAATGAGTTTATTTATATTTTATTAAATTATTTATTATAAATAAATAAGAATTATAATTTAATTATAAAAAATAAAGTAATAAAATTTTATTATATTAAATAATATCAATTATAATTATTTAAAGAAGATTATAAAATACTTTTTAATATTTTTTTATATTTTATATATTTTCATTCTTCTCAACAATAAAAATGTTTATTCATTTTGTTGATGTTACTGTAAACAATAAACATAAAATTTACTGTGGCTAAATATAAATTTTGATAAATATTATTTAATAATTTATATCAAATATTTAAAAATAAAAATAATATAATATAAATACATAAAAAAAATAGACACAAATATATAAAAAATTGTTTTTCAATTAAATATAAGGTTTATTAATATAGATGCAAATGTGATATATTTCTAAGTAAATTAAAATAAATATTAACATAAATTTATTTAATAAATTATATATAATATTATTAACTTATGATTTTAAAATGACATATTTAAATTTGAAATATGTATTGTAGTAAATAAACATATACTTAATAATTGAGATATTAATTTGAAAAATTAATTTAGACTTTAAAATTAATTTAAAGATTAAACTTTAGTGACAAAATCAATTACTAATAATTGCGATATTTGTAACACCTTAATTTAATTTTTAAAATAAATAAATTTGCAATAAAGGGAAATAACAAAATTTTCATTCAAATAATTTTCAACGCATAGTTTCATAAAGTATTTCAAAATAAGAAGAGTTATAAATTTGAGACAAAATAAATGCTATAAGACCAATTTAAATATATCAAAAATTTAAATAAAAAAAAAGTTTTTAAGTCCTATAGCAGTTTTATCCCTCCCATTTACTAAACCTAGTGCTGATCTCTTGGTCACCTGAAAAATAGATGTAACAGTGAGTACCTACACTATCATACATACACAAGCATAGAGACTCACCTTACACATTTTACATATTTACTAACAAAATTCAAATCATGTATCAAATAACACAAATGCTACTTTCAACATTCCATATCAATTCACAAACAGGTGCGTTCACTGTACTATCAAACAATCCACACCCATGTGCGCTCACTACACGTAGCCACGCCCACTGTGGCATTGTGATCACAAATTCCTAATGCCCTCAACCTCAAGGACTTACTCAGTTTCTACTCCACGAATACGTGTGTGGTACTGGGTCCCCCAAGCAAAGGTATCAGTCAGAGACCGATTCAAGAGGAGAGTGTGTGGCCTGTGGTGCACCTACGCTCACTGTTGGTATCACCACCATCCTCTCTTGCCCAAAGTATTTATACCGCCCCCATCATCCGCACCCCCAATATATCGCTGAACCATTCATAGTTTTTTAATATATTCAAACACAATCATCATGTTATTCACACATATTTTTAATCATTTCACATTATTCATTATCAACCAATATCATGTCCACACATTTCAACCACATTGTAACCAACCATATGATTTCTATCACCATTTCACTACACATCATACTTAATATCAATCACATTGCATTACATACAAAGTTTCCATTATGATCCAATCACAATCAAACCATTTCATCACACACACTATTCAACATCAACCACATTATATTGCATACAATCTTTCTATCTTAATCTCACTACAATCAAATTATTTTCATCCAAATATATATTTTTCTATGTTCTATCTCGATCACATTCCAATACATAGCAATATGAATGAATTCTAGGCACAAAGAAATAGGGTAGAGTCTCCCCTTACCTCGGATTGAATACCCAACACAAATTAATGGTAAAAAAACCTTTCCCACACAATGTTCCGTCCTAAATACATGGAATATCTCCATGAGAATCCAAGAAACGAAAAAAGGGATGAAAAACCAAAATCCTAACTCTTAGAACTTACCTCTAAATGCTCCAAACATTATTTCCACCTTCAATTTTGTACCCAAACAGCTTTGAAGGTAGTTTAATCGGTGAAAATAAGTTGGGAATTGAGAGAATTGAAAGAGTGTTCAAAGGGAGATGTGGGAAATAAGTTTCTTGAAAGCTAAACTCCTCAAATACCCTAGGATTCGCGACACTCTCGCTACAGCAAGTCACCTTCTCACTGCAGCAAAAATCTCAGTCAAATCTGCACTCTAGTTTCTGTAGAATCTCGCTACAGCAAGACCCTCTCGCTACAGCGAGGAGCCTCTTACTACAGCGAGAACGCAACAGATGCACAGCAAGAATGCCCCTGCATCACAAACTTAGCCTACATTTCAATCCAATCACAGGTTTACGTTCATTTTTCAACCGCAATACACACTTATATATACATCCACATGTATTTATACATATATACACATCACCACATAATTCAAATGTACATTCAAATAGTAATTCACATATTTATATTAATAACCAAAATATCATTACCAAAATTCGGGGCATTACAATATTAATTTGAAAATATGTTTAAAATTAATCATAATTTTACTAATTGATAGACATAGATATATCATCAATAATAACAACATATATAGACATGATGAACATCTTTTAGCATACACAATGCATATTATGTAACACTTGTTTTCTTTTAATTAATAAATTGATTATTGTTTCGTATTATATAGTGTTAGAGTGTATTGAAATGATTTAAGGATGTCTTGATAGAAATCTGGTGCAAGAGATCTCGCTCAGGCAAGACAAATCTCGCTATTGCGAGACTGAGAGCCCAAAACTACATGTTTTCAGGACAATCTCACTTAAGCGAGACAAGATCAATTCATCCCAACTGTCACCTCACTCAAGCGAGCATGATCTCGCTAAGGAAATCAATGATTTCGCTAGGGGAGCTGAGTTGCTCTAGCAAGAACTCACAGGAAAAATGTCTAACTCTCTAAACATTATCTCACTTAAGCGAGCTCAATCTCTCTCAAGCGAGCATATCAGGAAATGATTGGCGAAGGCCACTGTCTAGTGTTCTTGCTAAGGTGAGGTTTACCTTGCTCAAGCAAGAATTGTGTCACGCAAATGAGAGAGCGCGGAGTTGAGGAGTATTTAAGTGAATTCCAACATGAAAATTTCATTTTCATTCCAAACCTCACATTCTCTTCTAATTTTCTCTGAACTCTCACCTCTTTCTCTCATATAAAACTCTCTCAAACTACGATTACTCCTCAAATCTGAGCTTGGACGTCAAAATCTAAACGACTCCAAGTAAGTTTATCTGAATTAAACTTTGTTTTCTCCTATCGTCTCTTGTATTTTTCATTCCTCACAAATATCTCTTGGTACTTAGGAGAACTTCTGTCTTTGAACTCTAGTAAAGAGTTTTCGAAAAGAGTTTCCAAGTTATCGTCCCACAAAGATTATTTTCAAGTACCAAGAGTAGCTTGATTTGATTGTTTAAACATAACGAGATTGTAACAGACCAAAAACAGAGCTTAAGGTTAACAATAAATTAAAAGAACAATAATACAATATATGAGAGAGATCAGATGAGATGAGCCTAGGACTTATGGGTTCACCTACTACACTTCTTTATGTTCTAATTAATTTAATCCCGATATTGGTATCTAAATATTTGCCAACCACTCATAATCACTTCTATTAACATCCAATGATTATGTAATGTCAATATTTTTTTCCCTGAGCAAACACTCCCAATGATCATGCAAGGTAATTGATCGAGAAAGCATAAAGATCCTATGAGTTTGTTAATTTAATAACGACTGAAAGAAAGGAATTAAGTGTAATTAACCTAGCCTCTTGTCTCGTTTTATCTTATAGTTTCGTAAATTACATGTGGTACGATCTCCTACAATGCAACTAACTATGGGATGGTAAGGGTGATCAAGTATTAACATACATAATATAATCCAATAGAATAAAAATCAAATATTAAAGGAAAACTAATACCAACATTAAAGTAAAAATCATACAAAGTTTGTAGTAGGATCCACCATAGTCCTAGCTATGGGTT